ATTATTGTGATGGGGGGCCCTGCAGTAAGTCATAGCCCCAGGGCCCAGTGAGGTCTTAATGCGGCCCTGGTTCCAGTCCTCGAATCTGATTGGCTGAGCAGAATATATACAGTCCAACAGCACTGCGACATTTCACTATATGTATCAATCTGCTTGTCAGTGTTTGTGTATTCCATATATACAGTAGCCTACATGTTCGTCTGTGCATTGTGTATGTGCATTCACTCAATTTGCAATTTGTTCAACAACACAAAAAATTATTCACAATCAAAACAAGCGAATCATTAAATCATTTATATAACCAAATCATTCAAAACACAGATTAATTTAGAAACTAAACAATTGACCATCTTTATGAGTAAATCACTGAATCATTTATTTGATAGATTTGTTCACGGCGTACCCAGGCTTTAAAAATTAGTGAGGTCCGGGGGTGTGTGTGTGTGTGTGGGGGGTGATGGGGGTTGGTGTTAAAGAATTGTGTTATAATAACCCCTACAAATACAACTCATATACACTATAAACACTTTAAAGGAGACAGACATGTGGATGTTTGTGAAATATGTTTTCTCTGTTTTGGAGGGATGATTATTTTTAAATCATAGGCTACCCTATTTATTGCATCAAAAATGTGTTAATACTTTATTTAAGGGTGGATAATTTTATCAGTTGTTTATTGCAACAATACTTTACTACAATAACTTTGTCTAGTGCTCTTATGAAAGTTTATAGCACGATTTGTGAAAATTTAACTATACTGAATGACAGCATAGACTTCTTCATGGCTAGTTTTTGCGTATTTCATTTAATTCAATAATTGCAGAAAAGAAATTGCATTTCACGTTCGGGGTTCAGACACACTCTCGCTGTTTAAATCTAGATTAAAGACACATCTCTTTGGCCAAGCATTCAAATAATGCATCTCATAATCTTGTACGGCAGTTATATCTGATCAAATGCACATTATTATTCTTTAGTTTGGGTTAAACAAATACATTTTGCTTGGTTGGAACAGCAGCTACGCTAATTATGTCTCTATTTGTTTCTTTGTTTTTGCCACGGGATGTAACTAGGATTTACACAAGCTTCAGTCTGGATCCAGAACACCTGAGAAGAGATGATGCCAACCCCTCAGAGGACCTCAGATGATGCCAACCCTGAAACAACATACAGAACTACCACATTTTGCTATAAGTTTGATTGCATCATATAATAATTGCTGTTAATAGTGTTCATCGTCTGTTTGATTACGTCTTTAATTGATTTTTCCGTACATTTCTGCCATATGTACATTAACTGACAGTCACCACTGATAAGCTACCACTAAATATTGTAGAAACTTAATTTGCTGTAAAGTTGCTTTGCAAAGTTTTGTATCGTGCAAAGCGCTATACAAATAAACTTGAATTGAAATTCTCTAACCTACTTGTTCGACAGATCTGTGTGTACTAGTGTTAAATGCTACTGTTTTTGACATCGTTGATAACGTTTATGACAGATAATATCATGATAATTTTTGCGTTTCCCTTGCCGAATGTCGTATCCTGTCAGCAAAAACCTGTCCATGGGCTTTTTTGATTGCTTTCAGTGCCGGCGATGCAGTGTTGCCAGATTTTGATACTAAAACAAAGAAAAAACTAAAAATAAATAAAAACAAACCGAAATTATTTCCAATCTTTTGAAAATAAGATAAGATAAAGATACAGATGACTCTAAACTGCAACTTCCTACTTTATTAACTTTCTAACGTGTTAAATTAAGTGGAAAAGACAAGTCCAAAAACGTTAATAATAGCTGGATCTGGCAACACGGAGGCTGCGCCCGCGCCCTCACACTCACAACTCTCTCTCAAGCCTCGTTCACTCCGCCAGCGCCTCGCATCGCAGCGATCATTTTCATACCACGAGCGCTAAACATTATTGCAAACTTTCTGAACTGTATTATGCATGTCATGCAGGCATTCATATGAGGAGTTTAACAGCAAATTAGTCATTCAAAGAACACATTTTATTTTTTAACATGAAACATTTACCGAGGTCCGGTCCTCGGTGGCCTCATAGCTGGTTACGGCCTGGATTTGTTCAATTTATTGAATATCTTCAGATTTATTCAGAAACTAAACAAGTGACTTTCTTTGAGTGAATTATTGAATCATTAATATATCAGATTCATTCAAAACACTTATTCATTCAGAAATTAAACAAGTGATTGTCACAGTGAATCACTGAATCATTTATAGCCTATATATATTTAAATATAATCATACTTGCAAGATACACTCAGTGCTTGTTCCTTGATTTACTTGATTTTATAAACATACCACCAAAATGCTTTAAGAAAACACCTTCTTTAAAGGATTTTATCTATTTGTTGAAAACAGGCAACCCAATTCATACTCTGACCTCCTTCTGATATTAGCATACATTCACCCATCAAAACTGCCTCTGATTGGTTAAGAGAGCTGGGGGAGGAGCCTGGGCTCAACATGCCAGTCAGTGGCTGTGGAGGCAAGAGTATTTCACTCGCCTGCCTGCCAAGTGCTGGACTCACTCTGAAGACTGAGTGCCTCACTCTGAGTGCTGCATGTTGCTGTTTGCACTTCAACAGTGTTGAAACAGAGTCAGCGTTTTCAGATTCAGCCAGTTGCCGCTGTCTCCTATCCTCTGATTCTCGTTCTGCATGTTTCTGTCTCTATTTATTTATTCTTTTTTTTTGTGGGTGTGTGTTTTGTGTAGGAGGCTCTTGCAGACCATTGTCGGATGTTTTTGCTCTTTTAGAGGAAGAGTTATTACTGAGGTGAGGTGAGGTGTATGATGCTCATACAGCACCTGCTTTCTTTGATCCACATGACAGATGATGTTCAATTTGAATTTACCAGACTGAAGTAGATAGAGATCAAAGCACTGATTACGGATATTCAGGGAAATGAACACCTCACATCATCATGGACTGCATCATTCATACCGAAATCACAGCCAGGGAGCTTTGCCAGTGGGAAAGCCTGTTCAAGGTGAGAGAGGATCAGCCTCTGGATGCTATGAGCAGCTCCTCATCTCCACAGAGGTCTTCCTCACACTCGGGCTCGTCAGTCTCCTGGAGAACATTCTGGTGATTGCTGCTATTATCAAGAACAAGAACCTTCATTCTCCCATGTACTTCTTTATCTGCAGTTTAGCCGTAGCAGACTTGTTGGTCAGTGTCTCCAATGCCTCAGAAACGGTAGTGATGGCACTCATCACGGGGGGCAACCTGACCAATCGCGAGAGCATCATCAAGAACATGGACAACATTTTTGACTCGATGATCTGCAGCTCGCTGTTGGCCTCCATTTGGAGTTTGTTGGCCATTGCAGTGGACCGCTACATCACGATTTTCTACGCCTTGCGCTACCACAACATCATGACCCAACGGCGGGCGGGCACCATCATCACCTGCATCTGGACCTTCTGCATGGTCTCTGGCGTGCTCTTTATTGTGTACTCGGAGAGCACCACCGTTCTCATCTGCCTTATCAGCATGTTCTTCACCATGCTGGCGCTTATGGCCTCGCTCTACGTCCACATGTTTCTTCTAGCCCGGCTGCACATGAAGCGCATTGCCGCCCTCCCTGGCAACGGCCCTATCTGGCAGGCGGCAAATATGAAAGGGGCCATCACAATCACTATCCTGCTGGGAGTATTTGTGGTGTGCTGGGCTCCCTTTTTCTTGCACCTCATCCTCATGATATCTTGCCCCCGGAACCCCTATTGCATCTGCTTCATGTCCCACTTCAACATGTATCTGATCCTCATTATGTGCAACTCGGTCATAGACCCTCTCATCTATGCCTTCAGGAGCCAAGAGATGAGGAAAACCTTCAAGGAGATCTGCTGCTGCTGGTATGGACTGACCTCTCTGTGTGTATAAGCTTGTTTCTGTTTGACGTCAAGGTACTGATTGGGAGATGTTGGCTTGCTGGATGATGCTGAGAATGAAGAAGATCTAATTACACTGCATAGCTTATGTGATTATTCTGTACACATTTATTTGATACCCAGAGAAATGTGATACTATGGCTGTGCTGAACATGAAAAAAAATGCTAATGTTATTGACTCAAGTATTCAGTTCTTTCATTCATTGACATGCTGTTTTTGGTGTTTATTTATATATAAGTCTCATTCATTTTATCTACTGATTAAGAAATCAAAAAGTCAAAGTGCCAATATTTAAAAGCATTAAATGACAGAAAATGTATAGGACTGTGTGTGATTCAGTTACTCAAGCACATGCACAATATTTGGCTACTGTGATTATGTTCTCTTAGCAGGTTGGTACCTCAATTATCCAGCTCGAGAACCGTTGCAGCTTAATAAATGTGTTTCATACTTATGAATTTATTTTTGTATTTTGTAAGTTAAGATAATTGTAACTTTTGTAATGCCATCTCATTGTGCAAATAAAACAACATCAAAACCAGCAATTATGCCTCATATGTTTTCTTGTGGAATTGGTCAAATGATAACAGATTTGATGGTTTTGCTTTTGCTCTTGGATTTTATTCCATTTCCCTTCCTTTCCAGCTTCAGAGTCATGGAGCTCAAAAGGTAAATATCTATATAATCTAGTAAAAGATTGCCTGTAAGCTCTTAAAGGCTATTTATTTGATCAGTTTTTTTTTAATGTCACCATATTGCGCTGAACAGACTCTCATCTAGTACAACTACTAAAGGAAGGATTTCTGTCACTTTGCACCTCCACTAAGCTCTCATTTATCCCCATGATTTTCTTCTCTATACAGTAATATTATTTGACCTTAAATCAAGGCCAACGCCACTGAATGCACAAAGAAAATACTGGGATTGGTTCTTTCAGCAGGTTGAGGTCTGTAAGCTGTCAGTTGGCATTCCTGTTAGCAATGGCAATGGCTCAGCTGGTGCCTGACTCTCTGGAAGTACACAATTTCAATTCTGCCATCTTTGATCATGGGCACTTTTTCCTAATTACAGGTGGTTTGAGCCAGTTTTTTTTATTGGTCTTATGAAGTATTCTAATTTGTTGAGATAGTGAATTGGTGGGTTTTTGTTAAATGTGAGCCAAAATCATCACAATTAAAACCAAACCAAAGATTTAAACTACTTCAGTCTGTGTGCATTGAATTTATTTAATACACGAGTTTCACAATTTTAGTTGAATTACTGAAATAAATGAACTTTTCCACGACATTCTAATTTATTGAGATGCACCTGTAGTTCCATGTATTAAACAAATGAAATCGCTCATAAAATTAACTAAAAGAGAGCAGGCAGAGTTTAAGACAGCTAGATGAATTGGGTTTGCACACTTCTCTAGACAGGTACTTATTGAATCAAGCCCTCTTCTCCTTTAATACATGCCCTTTTAACATGCTTGGACAGCTGCCTAATTAAGAGCCATTTCCCATTTGTAAACCCTGGGGATCCTCCTGGTCCAGCAATATTTTTCAGCTCAAAGAATTTGAAAAATCGAAACGGCCTGTTAGCCTGATGGAAACCTATCCTATTAAGTTAATTTGCAGTCTTTATTGGAAATGAAATGGCTTCTCTGCCCTGCAAAATATCTGAAATTATGTTCATGCAGACTGGTTACACATTAGCATATGCAATCAATCACAATTTACAATATTATTAAAAGACAAAAACAATAAGATTTTATACCTAGATCTCTCTCTATTTTTTTTGTACAGACCTCATAAAAGTTATTTAGAGACTGAGCCCTTTCTAAGTATATAGAAAAGCATTCATCATCAGGACAACAAAAAGTCACCTCTGAGTAATCTATTGATCAATTTAACATCTCATTGTGCAAATAAAACAACATCAAAACCAGCAATTATGCCTCATATGTTTTCTTGTGGAATTGGTCAAATGATAACAGATTTGATGGTTTTGCTTTTGCTCTTGGATTTTATTCCATTTCCCTTCCTTTCCAGCTTCAGAGTCATGGAGCTCAAAAGGTAAATATCTATATAATCTAGTAAAAGATTGCCTGTAAGCTCTTAAAGGCTATTTATTTGATCAGTTTTTTTTTAATGTCACCATATTGCGCTGAACAGACTCTCATCTAGTACAACTACTAAAGGAAGGATTTCTGTCACTTTGCACCTCCACTAAGCTCTCATTTATCCCCATGATTTTCTTCTCTATACAGTAATATTATTTGACCTTAAATCAAGGCCAACGCCACTGAATGCACAAAGAAAATACTGGGATTGGTTCTTTCAGCAGGTTGAGGTCTGTAAGCTGTCAGTTGGCATTCCTGTTAGCAATGGCAATGGCTCAGCTGGTGCCTGACTCTCTGGAAGTACACAATTTCAATTCTGCCATCTTTGATCATGGGCACTTTTTCCTAATTACAGGTGGTTTGAGCCAGTCACCTGAACTGTAAGTGACAAATCTCTCTGGAGCAACAGTGAAAATGACATCATGACCACTGGTAGCTGATGGCACCACAAGAACACACAGTCTCAAACGCTTCACTAGTAATTATCCCAATCTGTGGCATGATATGCAAGCCTTTAAATACAAGTGATATACATGGCACTTTTACTATCTACTCTAATATAATAAAATATTTTCAATGTATGTAGTGAGAATATGGAGCTACTTTTTAATGCCTCTCAATGGAGAAAGATGCTTTTTGCATCGAGATGATGTAGTTACAACAGAAACACAAAATGGTAACACTTTATTTTAAAGTGTCCTTGTTACACGTTGCATGGATTTACTATTATAATAACAATTAATTATGCATAATTACATGCAAGTAGCCCAAAGCCAAACCAAAATCCTAACCCTAACCATATAGTAAGTACATGTAGTTAATTAATCCCCCCCCATTCAAAAGGCTTGCTAATAGTGAGCCATTTTGTTGATTTTGATTTGACATAATAATCCATTCACATGTAAAAATCTGGAAGAAATCAGTATAAATTCCAAGAATAAGAGCGTCTCAGATTGGAGCTTCATAAGAGGCATAAAAAATAGGCCTATATACACACACACACACACACACACACACACACACACATTCATTTCTTGACTTACTTTTAAAAAAAAAAAAAACACTTTTTTTTTTTTTCTGAACATGTGAAATCGTAAGTGCTTCTGCCACATGCAAGCTAGATTTTTCACAGCTTTAAATGCTTTCTTGGTATGCATGGAAAGATATCTTTGAATTGAAATGCAAATGTATAAATTGGAGGCAATTTGTGTATAGGCAAGAAGATGCATAAGGGGTTTCTCTGTAATTCTCCTGTTTGGTCACTCAAACTCATTGCCTCTAATTGAGCATGGGCATTGACATTTTAGCTCTATACCCATGGCTGTGTCTCGATAAATGAGGCTACCTCATAAAAGCCTGAAATTATTTGTGAAAGGCTCCTTTTCTTAGCAATTTGAGCTTGGCTAGGTTGGATAAGTTATAATTTTAGTAATTTATTTGGTAAAGAAAGAAGGAAAAAATACAGCAATGAGCCTGAGTATCATAATTAGTCTTGACAATAAATTATGCACTGGATGGATAGATAGATGGATAAATAAATAAATGTGAATTTTGAAGTCATCGTTATGATGATTAATGCTCCCTTTAAGTAAGCTGGAGCTGGTTCAAAAGCATATTATTTATGTTTTTGATAGTTATTGTCAATATATCAGGAAAAGAAAGCTCCAGTCTAAAATAAATGTAGATGCCTTGTCACATTGGATTTCTATTGAGAAGTTCAAATATGTAAACATATGCACAGAAAGTGCGATTAGACTTTATTTCTGTTTTTAAATGAGTTTAAAAATGCTATGTTGCAGGCATTTATAAAATAATCAGAATGAAACTGATTAGTTTTGCTGACTTGAATATAATATATATATATAGCGAATATAATTAATTGATCTAAAATGTAGAATAAATCAATAAAAAATTAAATAAAAAATGACTTGAATACCTCTTCTTCTGTGATCTGTTCTATTTATAAATTAAAGTCTGAGGCTTTAATTCTTGATAAAAATAAATGTTGGCTCAAAGTAGTTTGGCATTATCTTTTAAATAGCAATGCAGCAATTTAATTTTAAAATTTTATAAATATTTCAAAACTGTTTGACCTTAGTGTCAACTGTCACGAATCCGGTCCATGGACTTCCGTTCAATCGCCACCAGAGGTCACTCTTCTGTTACATTGACTCTCACACTACACAAACTGTTGCATGTCATCCCGGACTACATATCCCATCATCCATTGCACTGATTGCACACAGCTGTAACCAATCTCACACTCACTATATTACACCCACTCAGATCCTTTTCAAACTGCCGAGTGTTGTTTAGCGTGTATCACTGCTATAGCTGGTAGCTACCTTACGGAGCCTGCTTAGTTTTCCTAGCCTTATCTTAGTCTTGCCTTGTCTGTTTTCTCGTGTTCTGATCTTTGCCTTGTACCTGGATTATTCCTCTAGTCTCGCCCTGTTGGATTACGTTCGCTGTCGACTGACCCTCGCTTGTTTACTGGACTGCTCTTGTTTTGTCTTCTATATACCTGTTTGCCATTGCCTGACCCTCGCCTGTTTTGACCACGCCCTTAATAAAGCTTGCAAATGGATCCGTACGTCTCACATCTTGTTTGCCCCGTAACATCAACCAACATGCTGGAAGCCATTTTGTTATTATGTTGAAAACCAGGAAATCAGTGAGGTCTGATAAGTCAAGGACAATTTTTTAATACCTAAAAATGTTAGAAAAACAGAAAACCTGTTTAAAAATAATGATTGAGTTGTGTGGTGCAAGGATTGCAGTGCTTTGGTTAATGGTTACATCACTTGACATTTTTAGAGCCATTGATTGATTGACTGATAGTGAAAATGGTATGATATTTCAAATATGTGAATGTCTTTTCATAATCACTGACATCTTTATTTGTTATTAATCTACCTAAGGCCTATTTTATTTATTCAGTTTTTTTTCTTTTTAGATGCATTTTTGACTGAAAGACATGGACAGAAATATGATAAAAAAAGCCATTTCCAGAGCCAAATACAGACACTTTTGTATTAAGCAAACACAATAAAGGATATTACATTTGCTATCAGGAACAAAAGAAAAACGGCAAAAAATAATTTAATTTTTTTTAACCAAATGAACCATGAAAATGCAAACCAGTTTCAATTACACCTGCAAGATAACAAGGCTAATGGCATAAGATGATATTCACAATCACGGTGAGCTGCTGAGGCAAGTCTATTTTTGCCTTACATGATTACTTTGTAGGAAAATAGGGAATGAGATGTGAATAAAATGTATCCATTAGGGAGTCTAAACGCTGTGGGAATGGTGTGTTCTGTGTGTCTGTGAGCTGCCTGTCTGCATCTCATCGCATTGATATTTAGTGCAGATGAGAACACTCACAACCTGGCATAATCCCGCTTAGACATGATGCCAAAAATGGTCTGACGCACCTCACAGATGCAGTTTTCCATTTAGTGCTTTCGTTCTGTAAAAATACAAAGGACAATTGGCCTTATGTGCTTTACATCGCACATTTTTAAGACTTTGCCATAATACTGGATTGTGATTGACAATCATGGCGTTTACAAAGTCAAGGTGAAGGATATGCCTGGAAATAGTCTACATATATTCATAAAATGCATACTTTTAAGTTGTTATGGATAAAAGTGCCTGCCAAATGTATACATAAATCTATTAATTCACTGTATTGATCCAAGTACATCTGTTTAGTTTAGCAGCAGCGGTCTGTGAGGGAATTTTCTAGGCAGGCTAAAGTGTAAATTAATATTGATCAAACCTGCTCTCCTTACTTTGTTGAAATAAAACTGTAGTATGGTTTCCATCATATCCCTTAGCTGATAATTATGCTTCCATACACATATGATCTCTCTCTGAAAGCTTAAATTAGCCTTGATTATTAACAACATGTTATAATCTTTCTGATTACCAACCCAAACACTTGTAAACATGGACATGAATATAACAAATCATGCAGGGTCATTTATCACGGATCAGGGCTGTCATTGTGAATGAGATTTTTTCCCGGGGACTGGATGAGAGGAGGGGCCACTAAGGGCCTCTATAATATATCCTCCTCATCTTCATGTGGGCCTGTCCATGAAAAAGTTTGTCCCAGACCATGTGAATTTTATGGTTAGTGATAATGAAAATGACTTGAATACCTCTTCTACAATGAACATATTTTCAATTTCTGAATTAAAAGTCTGATCAAAGAATTTTATTTTATTTTTTACCTTGTGTGATATTATTTTAAAACTCAATGACCTTGACTCATCCGTGCACTCTGCTTAATGGGTTTCCACTGATTTAAAAAATGGCTTGCATCTTGGTTACGCCACATCGACTTTGTCTTGGGGTTTAAATGGTTTTCAAATATTTTTAAAACTCAATGACCTTGACTCATCCGTGCACTCTGCTTAATGGTTTTCCACTGATTTAAAAAATGGCTTGCATCTTGGTTACGCCACATCGACTTTGTCTTGGGGTTTAAATGGTTTTCAAATATTAAAAAAATTGTAAAACAAAATTGCTGCTAAAATCACTGCTATTTTATATAATAATATAATATTAGAAAGCACTGAAGCAATTTGGTTTTAAAACTTTATAAATATTGGACAAACCAAGGTAATTGAGTTTTAAAATAATCTCTCATATAATCATACATCCTTTCGATAAAAAGCACATTTTATCAGATTAAATAAAGTCAACATAAGAAAATGTCTTGATATTTTTGATAATTGTAAAAAAAATAAAAAAATAAAAACACTTTAAAAATGTTCAAAAACCATTTAACAACAACAACAAAATTAAGTAATCTATTTTTTATTCAAGGTGCATGATGCTTTTACTTGATGTCTTGACATTTTAGAGTCATTGATTTTATTTTACTTTATTGATTGATTGTTTGATTATAAAAATATGATTTTTTTTCTTTTCATCATGTTAGACATCCTTATTTGTGTCTCAGCCATTTACAGGAGGAGGCAGATTTTTTTATTCTCTCTCTCTCTCTCTCTTTTCAGATGCATTTTTGCCAGACAAATGACTTTGCATCGTTTACATACATTCTCGTTGGTCAGTTTTTGCATTGGGGGAGTCTGTCAGCCTCCTCTGTCATTAGTACTCTGAAGATAAATAAAATACTTATTTTGTATACACATTATCATAATATACATGTACAGAGTTTGAATACCATTTAATTGTTTTGCTGTAGGCGTTATTTAAAAAACATTTTGGAGATTCATCCTGTCATGACAAACCACCACTGCTGTTTTCTGTAGGGCAAATGAGTCCGAAAAGAGGAAAATAAATTTTAGTGTTGTTGAGTTCAGGGTCAAAACAATTTAGACTGTGCTCTGTGTGTTATTTTGTGCAAACCATGTATTCAGACCAGTATTAGAGGACTCATCATTCAGTCTGTGATTACGGTTAATGGAACATATTTAGTTGCGGAGAGATAGCCAGCATGCGTCACAGTTGCTCTTATGAAAGCATCTAAAATGACAGGTCATATTAATTCACCATTGAAGCTAGCATTCATCTTAAGTAAATTGAATAAAGCTATTTTTATGCAATTGTACTTCCCTGAGTTCAGAAGTTGTATGTAAGCTAATGGCACAGAACATCAGCAATTGCTGTTTTCTGCAAGTCAAAACAGCTTTGAGGCATCCTGCAATTGATGTCACGTGCTGCATCGTTTAGCATTTGTTACAAGCATAACTGCTTATCAGACTCTGAAATCAGTTCACACTGAGACATCTTGATGATCTTTGCAAGTATGCATTAAAAACTATTTATTATGAACACATACACAAATCCAACTGAGTCAATTCATGCTAAAGATTTTCACTGAATAAATTTCAGCCTTAATAACAAAGTGATGAATGTATGCAGGGTGGCTTAAAGGATAAATTGTACTGTATTCAAAGGCAATATAGCAGTGCAACAGTCTCTTTCTCACAGGATTCAGGCCAATTACTGTTGGAGAGCCACTGCCACCAAAGATTAGCTAAGCAACCGATCAGCCGGGGCTTTTTAAGTGACTGTGACGACTGTCTCCTCTCATGCGTGGAACACTGGACTGAGTTTATATGTAACACCACAATTTCAAACTCCTATATTTTGAACTTCTGACTGTCGATAAAAGGGTTTTATTTACATTAGAGTGATATGGTATAAAATTCCTGCTAACAGTTGAAGAGACAGTTCAGCCAAAAATTAAATTTGTCATCCTTTACCCTCCATACATGTTTTACTGTCTTTATGTAAGGAATAATTGACGATGACTCCACTTCACTCCACCTTGGGTGTGCATTATTTTCTAATAATTCAACGTACCGGAGTCAATTATTCCGCTTATACTATGGTTACCACACCTTAAGACATTGTTCAGATGTTTTATTTTATTTGTTGTATTTTCATTTCATTGCACATCTTACCTCAGCATGTTTGCCAATCAGATTCAAGCATTCAACAACCCCCTAGTATAAACTATCATAAGATATTTTGGAGAATATTTCAATTGTGATTGTCCTTACAATGAAAGTCATAGGGGTTCAAAACAACACTGATTTTTATTTGACATTTTGTTCCACAGAAGAAAGAAAGCCATGCAAATATGGGACAAAATGAGGGTGAAGTAAATGATAACAATTTTCATTATTTTGTGAACTATCCTTTTATCTCATAGTTGTTTTGTCATGCAGTGAAATTAAAAGTCAGGTCAGGCATATTCGGGCCAGTCTAGAAGTCTGTGGGCATAGAGCAATAAAGGAGGGTGACATGTACAAAGCTCAGGTGAATTGGTAACCACCTCAGGCTTCAGACAAAGACAGCCGAAGCACAAGGGGCCACACAGGAAGAGGGGAAATGTGCAGTATTGTATGTATCTGCTATTCCCAGACTATAGTATGCATACACAAGGGATGAAAGACTGCAGCACAGCATTCATATGAAAGTCTTAAGCTTTTTACTTTACTGTGCTGATAAACCATTATTTTGGTGACAATACAGAAAAAAATATTACCCAGTGTTTCGGCATCTCTTATTTTGAATGAATGCACTTAAATTGAAAACTTTTTCGGTTTGCATCTATGCATCTCAACCTCATTGTTCCATATGCACTCAATGCAAGCAGTAATAGAGTACACAGCAAAATCACAGCATGGTTTTAAAAGCGTTGCTACATCCACCTTTCTGAAAGCAGCCATTGGCAAAGGACACGCCACAGCTGCTGTTGAATTTAACCTCCCTCCTCGTGGGGTCTGTGATGTGATCTCTGATGGTATTGATTCATACTCTGTGAACATCTAAGCAGCCAAAGAGGGACTCTAGAATGTTCAGCACGCTGGGCAATACTCATCCAAACTGGATCTGACATGAATGAATGGAAATTTAAGAAATAGTTTAATCTTTTATCTTAATCTTATTTAAACTGTATACATACATTAATAATATATGTGCAATGACTTATACACACACACACTACTGTTCAAAAGATTGTGGTCAGTATTTAAAAAAAAAAATAACTATAATACATTCAAAAAGCGCGCGCATGTGCGTGTGCGTGTGTAAACGCTGGACCAGACCATAGACTGTATAAAAACAGGGGTGGGAATTTAAAAAAAAAAAAAAAAAAAGCGCTTTAAAAGTGAGAATAAAAAAAATATTCAACACAAATATTAAGCCGCACATCTGTTTTCAACATTGCTAAAAATAAGAAATGTTTCTTATCACCAAATCAGCATATTAGATTAACATCTGAAGGATCATGTGACACTGGAGACTATAGTAATGCAACAATAAAATTTTTTTACTGACCCCAAACTTATGAAGTAAATATATACCCCTGGTGATATTAAATACATATTGATAAATACAAACAAATAGTGAAACAAAGCCAAAAAAAACAAACAAAAAAAAACACTACATAATGAAAAATATTCCCATGGACCATGAAGGGCTGAGCTCCCCCTGGCTCAGAGATAAGAGAGTGACTGATGAGTGTGATGTTGAGTCTATGCTCATTAAAAAGCATGCTAACAGATCACAGAGACACTAGTCTCACATAATACCATCTGTCTCAACGGCACAGATTCAAGCATCTGCTTTTGGGGCAACAACCAGCCTACGTATGTACAATCATTATATCATCAATTACAGTGCTAATGTTACGGAAGGAGACTCACACAGAGGGTTAGAGAGAAACAATGATGTTTATTTCCAGCAAGTGAGGCAGAGGATACGGGCAGGTGAATGTTAAGCTAGATAGGAAGTCCTTTGGGAGGATGAGGAGAGAACTCTAGTAAGGGGATTCCCAGGAGATCGCGGAAGGAAGACAGTAGGCTCGTCCCGCGCCGTAACATATCCACCGGGGAAGGGGGGTGGGCGCCCTGGAGGCTGGTACAGGACAGAGACACGGAAGGACTCCAGGGCGGACCAGGGAGTCCAGGAGGCCATGGCACAGCAGACAGTTCGGGCCGCCATGTCGGAGCAGGTAGTTCAGGCCGCCATGGCGGATCAGGGGACCCGGGAGGCCATGGCGGATCAGGTCAGGTCGCCATGGCGGATCCTCCGTGGCCTTGGTTGGCTCAGCCACAGGTATATGCCCGCCCCCCCCAAATCTTCTTGGGGAAATCTAGGAATCCTGGGGGTCGCTCAGGAGGAGCGGGCACTGGAGCGAGGCCTGGGGCCGACCCTGGAGCGAGCTCTGGGGCTGGAGCCGACACTGGAGCGAGCTCTGGGGCTGGAGCCGACACTGAGCAAAACTGGGGATCAGAAGCCCTTCCCGAGCTGAACTGGGGATCAGGAGCCCTTCCCGGGCTGAACTGGGGATCAGGAGCCCTTCCCGGGCTGAACTGGGGATCAGGAGCCCTTCCCGGGCTGAACTGGGGATCAGGAGCCCTTCCCGGGCTGAACCAGTGGTGTCTGGGAGGTCCACGGGGCGATGGTAATTGGCCCCGAGCCAGAACAGCTGATTAAGGACGGCATCCTCGAACACCGTCACCGCGGCGAGCCTGCAGAACTCCCCGGCGTACTCGTAGAAGAGGAGATCCCGGCGAGCGAGGACGGAGAACCACGCAGCAGATTGCATGCCGTGGGGAGAAACAGGGACAAAACAAAAAAAAACTTTTCAAAAACAGAACTAAAACGGGGACAGGGGACACCACTTACTTCTTGCTGAATCCCATTAAGGTCCGATCTTCTGTTACGGAAAGAGACTCACACAGAGGGTTAGAGAGAAACAATGATGTTTATTTCCAGCAAGTGAGGCAGAGGATACAGGCAGGTGAATGTTAAGCTAGATAGGAAGTCCTTTGGGAGGATGAGGAGAGATAACTCTAGTAAGGGGATTCCCAGGAGATCGTGGAAGGAAGACAGTGGATAGCACACACCTCCGATGGTGAGTGACGGGGTATCCACGGAGCGAGGGACTGGAACGAACACAGGAGGAAACACTGGAGGAAACACATGAGGTAAGTATAACTTGGAAGGTAAGTCTTTCAATGAATCTTACGGATTGCAGAGAGAGAGTCCACTTCGTTGGAACGAGATCAGACCCAGGAGTGGTGTGAGGTGTGTGCTTATGAATGGGAGCTGAGGGTGATTGTTAATCTGTGACAGGTGCGTGTGATTAGAATTCAGGTGAAGGTGTTTGCTGTGATTGGGAGGTGGCTGAGTCTGGCCGATCTGTGGCAGCTAATTAATGCAGACCAAAAAGAAAACAAGAAATAGGATGTTTCTCTGAGGGGGGAAAAAAACACCAAATGCTTTTAACCTTAGTGGATGTAACAAACCATAAGTAAAAGATTAAAGAACCCAGTGTACTTTTCAAAAGGAGACACAGAACAGATGTCCATATGCTCTGACTGATGTACCTGAATATAGTGACTATGGTGGGTTTGGGCAGGGCTTCCAGGAAGAGCTGCACAGCCGTGATCATTTGCTGGATCTCCTCCTCACTGCTGATGTGGTGAGGGAGCAATGAGTAATCACAGGTCAAGCCTGCTTGATGCAGCTAAACTCAACACCACAGGCACAAATATATCAGCCTGTGGCACTGGCAGACGTGCCTCAGCACCACAAACCAAGGAAGGCAAATTTGTTATCCCTCATGTTCTGCTTGGAGGCTTGAAAAAATATACTTGATATTAAGTAACAAACTGATACTTCATTATTTTTCCTCATCACTGCAAAACATTTTTAATTAGTATTGTGTCTTGTTTTCCAGAAAACAATATCTAAACATCTTTGATATATTTACTTTAAAATGCATGACTTGTTTTTAAAGATTATGCCTTGAATCACATTCATTACATCTAAATTACATTGGCATGTTATTGGCATGTTTTAACTAAACTCATGATTATATATACATTTTCTTATTTTTCCAGATTTTACACACACACACAAACACACACACACACACACACACACACATGTCAATTTTGATTGTCATTTAAATTGACAAGGATGTTTAGGGGTTTCAAAACTACAAATGTTTGAGAGAGAGAGTCCACTTCGTTGGAACGAGATCGGACACTGGAGTGGTGTGAGGTGTGTGCTTATGAATGGGAGCTGAGGGTGATTGTTAATCTGTGACAGGTGCGTGTGATTAGAATTCAGGTGAAGGTGTTTGCTGTGATTGGGAGGTGGCTGAGTCTGGCCGATCTGTGGCAGCTAATTAATGCAGACCAAAAAGAAAACAAGAAATAGGATGTTTCTCTGAGGGGGGAAAAAAACACCAAATGCTTTTAACCTTAGTGGATGTAACAAACCATAAGTAAAAGATTAAAGAACCCAGTGTACTTTTCAAAAGGAGACACAGAACAGATGTCCATATGCTCTGACTGATGTACCTGAATATAGTGACTATGGTGGGTTTGGGCAGGGCTTCCAGGAAGAGCTGCACAGCCGTGATCATTTGCTGGATCTCCTCCTCACTGCTGATGTGGTGAGGGAGCAATGAGTAATCACAGGTCAAGCCTGCTTGATGCAGCTAAACTCAACACCACAGGCACAAATATATCAGCCTGTGGCACTGGCAGACGTGCCTCAGCACCACAAACCAAGGAAGGCAAATTTGTTATCCCTCATGTTCTGCTTGGAGGCTTGAAAAAATATACTTGATATTAAGTAACAAACTGATACTTCATTATTTTTCCTCATCACTGCAAAACATTTTTAATTAGTATTGTGTCTTGTTTTCCAGAAAACAATATCTAAACATCTTTGATATATTTACTTTAAAATGCATGACTTGTTTTTAAAGATTATGCCTTGAATCACATTCATTACATCTAAATTACATTGGCATGTTATTGGCATGTTTTAACTAAACTCATGATTATATATACATTTTCTTATTTTTCCAGATTTTACACACACACACAAACACACACACACACACACACACACACATGTCAATTTTGATTGTCATTTAAATTGACAAGGATGTTTAGGGGTTTCAAAACTACAAATGTTTGGTCTGAGATGCCTCAGAGATATTAAACATGAATAAATACATTCGCTAACATGAGTTCAGCAATACACCCCTGACAGAAGCTTATTTTGCATTTTTCAACACTGTTCAATTTCAAATGGACCCCAAGCAGAAACAACGTGACTAGCATGGATATGAGCCACATTTCTGAAAAGTGAACTCTACAGTAAAATAGAAGATTAAAGCTTCAGTATATTCCGCCAACTAGTTTTTCATTATGCTTGAGGAGTTTATTACAAGAATATGAGGGTAAAATAAGATGATTTGAAACTTGCTGATATTATTTTTCTACATACATCATTGTAGACTATGAAAGCATAAAAACTATTTGGGATATCTGGGATGACAGATACTTCAAACATGATTAAAATACCCAAAGGATAAAAACATAGTTAGCGATCAACATTTGCTATCAAATATAGAAAGTAACAAACTTATAAAGACACTATAGCATTACAGTAAAACAACCCATCAAAACAAGAATGACAAAGTCTTGTTACTCATAACCCAAAAGATAATATAGCTCTACTCACCTGCGTAAGCCAGTACACAAAAGTCACAAAATCTGGAACACTAATACAGATTTGTAGTGTGTACAGAGCCAAAACAAGAGCTCTTTGTACATCTCTGGCAAAAAAAATGAACACACACATTGACCAGAGAGATGGCCCATATGTTAAAGGCGAGGGGGGAGAGCCCTCCATGATGCCAGTGCCCGATTAGCACAAGGATAAACACACACACACACACACACACACACACACATATATACACAACTTTACCATTTCATAGTCTGGTGACTGAGTTCGATTCTTAAGGCTGTGTACAAGTCTGACAAGAGATTTTATTCTACAAAGAAAGAGAGGGGGGGAAAAATCAATGCATGAGGCTGTCATCTCCTGCTTGATCAAATGCATACTGACCATATACAGCAATCAATCAAGCCCAATGGTGCACTGAAATGGAGCTATAAACAAAAAGCAGAGCCTGTGGCTTTACCGTCTCAATGACAGCAGTAATGCATACCTTGGGTTTGCTGCTAAACGTTCAACAGTTTCCTGGCCGTCATCCTCTACCAGTTCAGCAAATGCAGCCTCCAGGTCTTCAAGCTGGTGAGTGCGTCTCTCTACACAATCTAAGAGCTCCTCCTGAAAACCAACACATGGAACTGTAAAGACACCATGGGAAATGTGCCTTCTTGTGTGTCCTGTATTCAACAAAATACACTGAGGTTAAAAAGCCTGAGATCACATTGAATATACATAGGATCTCATTTAAACCTGGGAATAAACAAGGTTTTCGATTTTACTAAATTTAAAACATACATAAAAAAAGAAATGTCTTTCTACACTATTTTTATATTTTTATGTGACTAATCAAAAGTAAGTACTTTACTATTCGAAGGTTTGGGGTCATTACGTTTTTTTTTCCTGCCTCAGGAAGGACACATTAAATTAAATGAAAATGACTGCAAATATATTTATAATATTATGAAAGATTTTTATATTAAATAAATGTTTCTTGAGCAGCAAATCAGCATATTAGAATTATTTCTGAAGGATCATGTGACGCTGAAGAATAATATAATGACTGCTGAAAATTCAACTTTGCCATCGGTTTTCCAGCTGATCCAGTGGAACGTAAAGAGCGTCACTCAAAAAGTAATCGTCTCTGCTTGTGACCCTACAAAGAGAAAGAGATTTCTTCTGAATGTTTTTACATGATTCTAACAGTACAATGTCTCCTGACAGGGTGGAGGTCTCATCCTTATTAATAGTAAATGAACGTCTGCTGCCATCTCATGGTTACACGCTGATATGCTGCACCTGACCTGATGGTGGTTGTGGATGAATCTTTCCCCACACACATAGAATGCTCCCCTTCTTTGATCTGCTGAGCCCAGTACGGATGCAGCCAGGCTACGTGGGAAACGTGTCCAGCATAGACCATTGGCATAATCCAATTCTCAATGCTCAGCTCACTGCAGGAGCAAACAATAACATGTCAACCCTTATACTCACTGTTGCAACTAATGGTGTGAATGGCTTTATTTTCAACAGCATGAGCTGTCTTTTTAAAGTTCCTCTGATTTTAATAGTCAGAGGAGTATTCATGCATGTTACTCTTTTGTACAGGCATTTTTTAACAGTTATTTGACAATAGCCACGTAGACTTCAACAAGTCATACTTTCTGCACTGTGCTAATTTCTGTCAATTTTTGTATTTTTAATTTAATATTTAAAATTCAATAACTAAATAAATAGTCATTATTCAAAATAAGATACATGTTAACTAAATATACAAAACTCTTTTAAACTTATTTCAGCTAGCTGCTGAATTTCTAATTTCTTAATTAACTTGATGTACTAAAATATCAGAAAACTAAAACTGAAATAAAATTTATTAATATTATATAGACATTTGAAAAAATAATAAAAATGACTAACACAAAACTTAAAAAAATAAAATGAAAATGGAAAAAAATTAAAACAATCAAAATATGAATAAAATCTATATACATATATCAAAGATAGCAGTGTAATAATAATAAATAAGCTAACATAACCTCAATAACGCTGCTTTGTAATTTCAAACACCGCATTAACATTTCCACCACATTTCAAATGATGTGTTGTGTCTGATAGCATTTTGTTGTGCAATTGACATTTGAAACATTTTTGGAATTAAACGGATGACTTCTCCTGCTGAGGCTAATTGCATGGCTAGCATGTTATGTCTCATGAAAACAATTAAATAATATATTTTTGGAAAATTTGATTTAATTTGATTGAAAATGATGCACAACAACAACAAAAAAAAATTATAATATATTATAAAAATAATTTATTTTTATTTTATGAAATAATAAACAACAAAACACATAATCTTCACTAAAATAATGAAATTGTTTATTTAACTTATCATTTAGATTATCACAGTTTTACAATAATACAATAACATTTTTATAATGGTTTTTCATATTTTTGAGAGTCTGGGCCTGGGACAAGGGTAAAACTATAAAATCTGCACATGAAAGGTATCTGACATGGGAAAAAATAAAAATAAACGAAAAAAATAAACTAGGAACTTAAAAGTTTCCAAGACAGTTTATGTATAATAATAATAATAATAATAATAATAATAATATGTTAGATTCATTTACAAAAAAATAAGTAAATTTTACATGAAAAAACAATCGTGTCCAAAAAAAAAAATCCTATAGGCTAATCGTATAATTTATAATCGTGTCCAAAGTTGATGAAAAACCCTTACAAACTTACCTGAACAGAATCTCTTTGTCGTACACCGTATCAGCAGACATGTTCACAGGGATGAGGAGATCAGGATGGGAGTCCAAATGAACCATTTTAATGCCCTTCATTGGAATATGTTTCGAGCCAATGGCACGATATATGTGTTTTACAGCCTAATGCAGGTGGAAATGACATTTCGGTAACAATTTTTTATTTTACACGTTTAGGGGCTGATTTATCATTCAAAACCACTGACTATGTTGCTTTTATTGGAACTAACGTTACTGTTGATGCAGTTATTTTCTGCATCAATAGTTCCGTCAGGCACTCATTCAATCCCACAATGCACTGCAAAAACGAGTGTACAACTGGTGCACGCTTAACAGCTAGAGAATGCCCATAATGCACCATGAGAGTCATGCGCCGAATAAATTCCCGCATCTCGCCAGAAGATGGCGCCCGCAGCTGAATAATCAATCTGTTCATTTTTACAAAGCGCTCATCCATGGCGTACAGCATAATGTACAACACAGGTATAAATTAATTGTAAATTGATTATTAAATTGTTTGATTAGGGTTTATACATAATTTCCGTGACAGAGTTCAAGATAAATCCTTTAATCTTACTACTGGAGCTGCTAGTTTGCTAGTTTCAAATGATTAATAAACAGCAAGCACAAACTATGCAAAAGCGGCATTCCTTCCGGTGCACTCACTGTCCGAACTCACTACTCGTTTTCATTCACTCCTTCTAGTGAACTGAATTAGTGACCTAATGTAGGGAATAGTGAATGAGGGTATAGGGGGCGATTTCGGACACAGCCTGTTTTCTTTAGTCACATTCATCGTGAAACTTGCTAATTAGCACATTATTAGGTAAGGCGATTCATTACAAAACATTATACTCACTTCTTCTGTAGATGAAGCTGGATCATGAATGATTCGCACGAACATAGACGCATTTATGCAGATCGGGGGCACATTCCCTTCAGAAACAAATGCAATCCACTGCGAGTTCAGCGGCTCAGATGTCGGGAGTAAATGATGACTGCTATGTTCATTATTACATCCAACAACAGAACACCTCAATTGCTTAGGAGTCATTCTTGTCTACATCTGCTTCAGCGGCGAAACAATGGCGGACTGATGACAGCTCACTCAGGGCGGTTCTAGTCTGTGCTGAAATCAGTGTTGCCAACTTCTTTCAATAGAAAGTAGCTAAAGCCAGTTTGAAAAGTCGCTAAATGTTGCCAGATGACGTCATACCCTAATTAGCATATTCATGACGTCAGCGCCTCTGTTGCCTTTTACATTTGTTTGTCTCTCGGTGCTCACATACTGTATTTTAATGCAGCCAAATTCTCAATAAAACTGTTTTCATTTATATATATATTACTGTTTCTGTTGTCAGAC